GGTTTATGGTTTCGGGGTTTAGGGCTAAGAAGTTAATGGTTCAGGGGTTTAGGGCTTAGGGGTTAATGGTTCAGGGGTTTTGGGCTTTAGGGGTTTAGGTTCGGCCCTTATGGGTTTATAAGGGTTTAGGGTTTTAAGGGTTTAGGGCTTATGGGTGTTATAAGGCTTCAGAGTTTGAGGGTTTATGGGTTTTATAAGGGTTTGGGGGTTTAGGGCTTATGGGTTTTATAAGGTTTCAGGGTTTTAGGGGTTTTAGGGTTTTTGGGTTTATAAGGCTTTACGGTTTTTAGGGGTTTGGGGTTTACGGGTTTTATAAGGCTTCAGGGCTTTAGGGGTTTTAGGGTGTATCGGTTTAAACGGCTTTGGGGTTGACGGTTTTGTAAGGGTTTTAGGAAGTCTTGTTGGCAAACCGGCCATAGAACAGGCATGAAGCACGTGTCTGCAAGACAGCCGACATCTCCCCCGGGTCCTTTGATAGCCGAGTGACTCTGCCGAAGCAGCTGGAAAACAGCAAGGGAGTGCACCCAGGGGCTCGAGCGAAGAAGCCCTAAACTAAACCCTTAACCCTTAACCCCAAACCCTAAACCCTAAAACCCCAAAACCTAAACCCTAAACGCTGAGTTCCTTCAGGGTCTTTGTGCATTGCGCTGAGGGGGTGTTGGCCCCTAGGTGAACACTTCAAGGTTTGGGAGCCGTGTTTGTGGTTCTTGTTATTTCTTGTTGCATGAGTTCATTTTTTTAGGGTTTAGGATTTAGGGTTTAGGGGTTCAGGGTTTAGGGTTCATTTTAGTTAATCATGGTATATCAGTTTCATAAAAGCAGTTGCTTCTGAATGCTCAGCATCAGGATTGTTGTGCAAAACAAAACATATATTTTGGTTGCAGCCCTAGCGTGCTTCAAGTGCATGGTAGGGAGCAATTTCGAGGACCCTTCGACCGAGGGAATTCGTTGATGGACAAGACCAGGGGACGCAGGTTTGGGTTCCGGGGTTCCTTGTGGCCTTTACACTTACCTAGGCCGCCACTAAGGACCCCTGAGCCCGAAGCTTTAGGGCTTAGAGGCTCCATAGTGGTTCCTTTTTGGGATTACCTGAAAGGATCCTAAATATAAATCCCCAAAAAAGGAACTACCATGGAGCCTACAAGTAGACCTTCATGCAACACGGACTTGTGAAGCTGTTTTCTGCTCATGCCTCGTCCAACCATGGAAGCCCTACCAGTAGAAACCCTACCGCTTTTAAGAGCTTGTATAATGAAACCATCAGTTAGGAACTCTAAAAAGGTAGCTTATTTGGGGGGTTATAGGTACTATAAGGGCCTTATCAATTATGTCATAAGAATAAGGAACCCCAAAACCCGATTCTAATTATTCAGGCCCCTACATCAAGCCCTATGAAGCTCACTATCAAAACATCCGGGTTGTGATGAGCTCCGCAGAGGGTTCTACGGTGTTGCAGGCTTACTCGTAAATCGAACAAGGTGCTGGTGTCCAAGACACTATGATTTCGTTGGGGCATTCAAACGTTTTTGTTGCTGTGGTATTGCATTGTAAATCTCCGGAGCTTCCCGTTTGAACCCCAAAAGTCCAGGAGGCACTGGTACCCCCTAGAAGCCGATAAACTATAAGCTTCAATCCTAAACGCTCCGTTGCGATGCCTTGAAGCTCGACTGCTTCGTCGTGCACCAGCTTGGAAAGCTTCTCGGCAGTGCTTGGGCTTGAGGGTTTGGAGTTTTATAGTCAAGGGTTGCCCCTAAACCCCAAAGCCCTAATCCTTAATTAAGCCCCAAACCCCTAAACTCCAAGCCCTAATAATTAAACCCCTAGCCCCCTAAACCCTAATTAAACCCCTAAAGCCTCATTAAATCCCAAAGCCCTACACCCTAAACCCCAACCCTTATGCCCTAAGCCCAAGTATAAGTTTGGAGCTTTGGCACTGCAGGGCTCGCGTTTGCTTTTGAAGCTTAAGGGTTTAGGGCTTGCGGTTCTCTCTACCCACAGGCTCCATAGTAGTTCCTTTTTCGGGATCACCTGATAGGATCCTAAATATACACCCCAAAACGGGAACTACAATGGAGCCTATAGGTAGCTAGTAGCTGTCAGCTCTTCGATCAGGAGTCTAAGGTTTGGAGTATAGGGCTGAGACTGAGAATTCAGGGTAGCTGTTGTAAATAATGAATGTAGCTCGCCGTTTTCATTTATTGTTTGGCTGTCACACACTTCATTGTGAACACAGCCTTTGCGCATCTCTGAACTATAGAGCCCTAAGCAAAAAGCCTTAACCTGGAGTCCTAAAATCATAAAGAGCTATGAGCCCTGAATCGTAAGCCCTAAACCTAAACCCTGTTTAACACGAAGCTTCTGAAGGCTCTTTCAAGCCCCCAAAAACCCTAAACCCTAAGCCTTCACAACCCTTAAAACCCTAAACCCTAAATCCTAAGCCTTTACAACCCTTAAAACCCTAAACCCTAAGCCCCCAAAGTCGCGAGGCGATGGGTGCCTGCTGCTCTTCAGCAAAGCGGGCCGGGCACGGCTTGGAGGCATCCGTAGGGCTCCTAAACCTTGGTACAAGGTTTAGGGCTTAGGGCTTAGGGTTTAGGGGTTTAGGGTTTAGGGGTTTTAGGTTTAGGGTTTAGGGGTTTAGGGTTTAAGGTTTAGGGTTTAGGGCTTAAGGTTCCCATGAGGGTTCCTCAAAGGGTCCTTTGAGGGTTCTTTGCTGGTTTCAAGGGTTTTAGGTCTCGGGCATGCGGTTGAGAGTCCAATACTTGAGTTAAAGAGATCTGAATACTGTAGCCACTGCAATACCTACTTACAGGTTATGAAACACCCACAACACCCCCATTCCAAGAAAGAAAGGCTTGCATAAGAAAGTTGTGGAGTGTTTGCTGGTTCTCTTGTCTCTTGCAGGGTTCAGGCTTCCCAGAAGTTTCTACATGTCGGTCGGCCCATGGGCAGTGCGGTTTCGTGACAGTGGCCAGAGCCTACATCCATCGGAGTATCGCCCTTCGATCCCCAAACCCCCCCAAAACCCCCCTAATTAAACCCTAAATCCTAAACCCCTAAAGCCCAGACAGAAGCACAGGCCACGGCCCTAAACCCTAAACCCTAAACCCTAAACCCCTAAACCCCTATACCCTTAAGATGCTGTGAGAGAGTCCTCGGCGGCGCCGAAAGAGCTTTGAGCCTTGCAGGCCTTCGCAATCCGCAGAGCCCTGCAGGTCCCCAAAAATGATTTTTGGAATTTAGGGTTTTAGAGTTTTAGGGTTCCTTTAGGGTTTAGGATTTAGGATTTAGGGTCTAGGATTACGGTTTAGGGTTGAGGGGCCTTGGATGACCTGTGAGGATTTACAAAGCTGAGTTTGAAAAGAGCCTCGGACATCAACATCATCCCGCACTGCCGCGGCAGAGATGAAGTAGAGAACGCTATGGTGGGTCGGTAAGACTTACATGTTCCTGCTCTTGTACGCAATCAATGCCCCCTATCGTGTGGAAATACTCCGAAGCCAGTGTTCACAACTTGTAACTGCCTGTCATAGCACAACCCATTAGCAACGACGATTCGCTCGACCAGGCGTTTCCTTCGAAAGCAGAGGCGATGGAGGCGGAGGCAGATCTACAAGAATCGGACGAGGATGATCAGAAGCTGCACCTTTTTGTCGAGGCTCCTGCTGCTCCCTATAGAAGACGAGTTCCCCGCATAAGCAATGCGTTGTTGTATCGGAACGGAAAGGTTGGCTTTTAGGCTCTTTTTATCAGGGTGGCGTACTATATTGGGGACCTAAAAAGAGATCCTAATTTAGAGAACTACTCAGTTACTTTTCGTTATAATGGACTGCCAACGTAGACTGAGAGTCCCGGGCCGCGGCTCGTGTACATCATAGCAACCTTATAGTAACCCTCAGTAGATAGTAACCCTTAAAGGAGCCTTTTAAAGGGATTCTACTCTAATTATGATGGTTGTCTAGAACCTGCACTGTGGTTTGACTGATGCTGTCGGTTGTCTGTGTGTATTTGCTTGGGTGGGGGCGGGCGGCGGCGGTTTGCTTTGGATGGTTGGTACAGGTGCAGTTTTTAGCTTTACCGTGCATACTAACTGATTTAGCCTGGTATCCCTGGACATTCATTGTGTGCATCTTGTTCTCGCCGGTGTCTTCATCAAGGGCGCTTGGCGAAGGCCTGTCCCGAGCTGTGACTGAGGGTCGTAAGCATCCCCGACTCCACCAAGCTCGAAACTGCAATAACGTAGAAGCCTAAATAGATACCGTTTTTTAGTATTCCATAGAGTGCCTTCTGATAGCTATACCATAAAGCAGCCCGAAAACCCTACCTGTTTCTACTCAAGGCCCCTGCATCGTCGCAACCCCTCTAGTACTCCTTCCAGTAACCCTTATATTGTAACCCTTGTTACCCCTTTAAACGGGAACACTTAGAGGGATCCTATTTTAGCTATGAAGGCCCCTGCATCAGGCAGGTCCATCAAAGTCCAATCCTCATCGCCTCGATCGATGCACGTTCTTGTCTTCCTGCTGCCCTTCTGCTCATCAGTTTCGATACCCGCACCTTCCAATTCCCCCCCCCCCCCCAATTCAATTACGGTCTTACGGACTATAACTCTTTCTAGAATTTCAATAGGGGCCCGAATGTGATTCAAGGTGTATATTCCTTAAGTAAGGGAGTTTGGAAGGTCGGGTAGTTTCATCCACCCAAGCCCTAAAGGTGACAAGCACTTGCTGCCCCTCAGCCAAGCGGGACGAACAGGAGTTGGAGGCTGGTTCAGAGTGAAAGGAGTTTGTTTCTTTTGTCTGCGGCGGCCCGTAGATGCAATCTCCAAGAAGTAGAGTACCTAACCAATCTAGTAGTTCACTAGACAGAGATTTGGCAACCCAGCAACCCATCATTTAGGTGATTGGAACCCTAGGGTATAAGGCTGTTCAGAGTTTATCTTCGGGTGGAAGTCGACCTGTCGCAGAGCGGTCCAGCTCTCTTTGGCAGAACCGTATCAGAATGACCTGCAGTCAAGCTGCTTGGTGGACATCCACATTTTGCCAAGCCACTACTCATGCAACAACATAACCTCTTTCTGTAAAACTATGTGGTAGCAGGGGAGTAGCCCTGGTAGTGTCAGCATGCATTGTAACCCTCACAGTAACAGCGTGGCAGAAATCGTATCACCTGGTTCATATCACGGTGACTGTAGTGGAGCAGTACCAGCAGTAGTGATATGGCAGTATTCGTCACTTCGTGATAGAATTGGGAGCACTACTGACATTGACATCAGAACTCATAGCAATTGTACGCAACACAAACCCATTACGAATGTTGTCGAACTAGCGCGACTTGACGAGCATCAACCCTGTTGTATAGCTTTGCATGTCCAGCTTCTCCCAATAATTCTGCAACTGTTTTTTTTTCCCACCGGGTTTTGCCCTGCCTGTACATACGCGGCACCTACAACGAAGTTGTGACGAGTAGCGGTGTGATGTCGAGCTATCACTGGATGGGACATCGTGCACTGTTTTTCCTGTGCAGCGGGTATTGTCGGGAAGGTAGCTGGGGTTTTTGTGGGCTATTTTGTGTCGACAGGGCAGTGCACTGCAGCGCCCTTTCTTCTTCGAGAGCTTAAGCTTCTAGCGACAGTGTCTGGAAGTCACCACTCCCAAGCTGGGTTCTTGTCAGGGGATTGTATTTAAACTACCATAATGGGGATCTAGAGTAAATAATATGGTTTCCCGGTTTCCTCTTTACTGTAGCTTACATTAAAACCCCGAACCCAGCAAGTCATTGACAGGCTGCTGCAGAACCTATCGGAGCATTTACAGCTCGTGGTTCAAAGGCGCAAACATGGAGTTGTGTCCTGCCCTTGTTTTTCTGGATGCCAAGTGTAATCCGATGATCGCACCCTAAACCCTAAACCCTATGCCCCAAACCCTACACCCTAAACCCTATACCCTAAGCCCCCACACCCTAAACCGTACCACCCTAAGACCCATGCCAAGTCAAGCCCCGATTCTTCCTTGACTCTCGCAGGGAAGCCACCCGGCGCCCCCTGGATTCACCACGTGGGTAGTTCTCTAAATCAAGGTCCCCTTGTAAGTCCCAAATACAGTATGGCACCCTTAAGGGACCCTAGTTTAGAAAACCACCCACATACTTTCCCCAAGGTCTAATCCCTAAACCTTGTCTCCACGGGCTAAACCTTAAATTCTAAACCTAAACCATGAAACCTAAACCATACACCCTACATCCCCGCCGACTACCTTTTACTGGAGACGGTGCCTGATTCATTGTATGCATTTGTCTCCGCAGATATGCTCTACACTGCTCGCCCTTGTCGCCTTCCGGAATTCTATAGTTTTCCCATCAGGCTTTCCCCTAAACCCTAAACCCTCACATCCTGCACACTCTGTGCTCTCTGCCAGGTGGAGCTGCAGGAGAAGCTGCGCATCTACGAGGAAAGGGCGAAACAGCAGCCACAGGATGCAGGAGCACACTGGTCTCTCGGTGGGCTTCGGCTGGCCCTTGGGAATTTCGCGGGCGCCGAGGGAGCCTACGCCGAGGCCGTGCGACTGGAGCCTGGTGACGAGTTCGCGCGCTTCGGCCTCGGCCAAGCGCGGGAGAAGCAGGGAAAGCTGGCGGCGGCCGCGGAGGCTTATGCAGCTGCTCAGCATCTCGGCTACGACGGTGGCGAGGCGCTAAATCGAGTCAGCAAGGAGAGGGTGCTGTGAAAGAGAGGGAGGGGAATGGGAGGGCGGTCGTCCGTGTGTGTGTGTGTATATATATATATATACGTACATACTATCTATATATGTATGCCATGTATGCCTGCAAGTATGTATGTACGCTTGTGTTGTCTGTGTGTCTGTAAGTGTATGTATGATGTGTATGATATACATATATATATATATGTATATATACATACATAAATATGTATGTATACATGTGTATGTGTGTGTGTGTGCGTGTCTGTCTGTGTCTGTCTGCGTGTGCATGTGTGTTTGTGCCCACATCCAGGGGCCTTGCCCCACGTCTCTCGAGACCTGCCTGGACAGGAGCTCGAGAGGAAGGCTGCCGTGGCGATCCCGTGCATTGAAGGTTATAGAGTTTAGTTATTAAGGTGTTATGTTGGTGACTAGTGTCGTTGTTATTGCTATTTGTTGTATTATTACTATTACATTAGTAGTATTGTCATGACCATGATTTCGGATTGTTATACATGTAGTGAGGTGTCATCGATGCCATTACCCATAGGCTCCTTAGTAGTTCCTTTTCGGGGTTACCTTGTAGGATCCTAAATATAAACCACAAGAAGGAACTACTTAGGAGCCTATGGGTACTTTGTACTCCGGATTGTCAGGCGGTCAAAAGCCCGGTGGAGACGCAGTAGGCCCGGGCAGGGATCTTATCTCACTGCACCTGTGGTGCTCTCACGTTTAGGGGTTTGGGGGTTTGGGGTTAGGGTTTAGGAGTTTGGGGTTTAGGGGTTTGGTAATTTTGGGGTTCATTGCAAGTTTTAGTAGTGCCGATGGCTTGCATAGGCTTGCAGCTATGTAAACCCCTCTTCCTTCGCCAATCCTGAGCCGCCTTCTGTGGACCAACTTAAGAGTCTTGAACTGCGGTCCGCAGAGCTGCTAGAAGTCTTGTGTCGTTACTTGGTCTATCGGAGAGGAGGCAGGTTTCGAAGTGCAGTGGACCGCGTACATTAAACTTCCCTAAATCCTGAACCCCAGGACAGCGAGCCCTCCTGCGAAAGAGGGGCGGGCATGTCACGAGCGAGGGGCTGTTGGGGCTCTAAACCAGGGCGACCAAAAAAAACGACTCGAGCAAAGGACGCTGGGTTGTCAAAGGTCGGTACTAAAGTGTATACATTTCATATATATATATATATGTCTGTATATGTCTATGAATACATGTGCATGTATAGTTTATATATATATGTAGGTATACATATGTGCACATGTGCATAGCCTTGGACCGTATTCGCTTCAGGTGGATGCAATCGACAAGCCTCGAGTGAGGCTGCTTCGGATAAGAGCCCCTGTGCATGTTGATACTTCGCTGGAGCCCTGGTAGACGGTCACCAGGAGCCGGTTCTCAAGCTGACGGGCTTGCGGGATGTTTTGCAATGCAGTGGAAAGCATCCGGAGATAATTATGTGGCTTACTGGCTTCACCCTAAACACGAATTCACGGCCGGGTCAGGGTGTAGGGCGTTGAGGGCCTTTCCATTCCTTCAACGAGACTGTCGCCTGTCTTGCACCTGCCTGGGGATTTCTGTTACATGCGGTGTTCGGGAAAGATTAGTCCCCAAGAGTCCATGTACCATCATGGCAGGCTGTTGATAGACATCTGGGCCCCAAAAGTAACCCTAAACTTTACACCTTAAACCCTAAACCCTAAACTCTAAACCCTTAACCCTAAACCCAAAACCCCAAAACCCTAAACCCCAGTACATACTGTACCCTTACTTGGACCCTTTGGGATTGATTCAAAGCCTGATTTCCCTTGACCCGGGCGTCCCCGAGCAAACATTGAAAGCCTAACCCCGAGCCACAGTAATATTCCATGAAGTCCTTAGCTCGTAATTCGGGTTCAGGGTTTGCGGTCATATCGTCTGCCAAATACATCAGCCCACAAAACTGCCATCCTAAACCCAAGTAACTAATTCTTATAGGTCCTTTGGACCCTTAACTTAAAGGAACCCTAAAAACCCCTTAAAGGAACCCTAAAAACCATTTAAAGGAACCCTAAAAACCCTTTAAGGGGTAGCCGAACACAAAACGTCTCGAAAGCTCTCGGCCTCTCCAGGCCTTCCTGTTGCCAGCCGTATTTCCTCGGTATGCCTATAAGTCCAAGGCTCTATTTGTAGTTCCTTTTTGGGAATTACCTTATAGGATCCTAAATATAAGCTACAAAAACGAACTATAATGGAGCCTATGGGTAGTCTCCATTGTAGTTCCTTTTTTCGCTTTAACCAGTTTTATAGCTAGGATCCTACAAGCCCGAAGCCTTAAACCCTAAACCCCCAAAAGGGGAAGAGACTGTAGGCATATTGCACGGCTGCAGCCGGATCTCGCAGCTGAATGCTCCCTAAACCCGAAACCTAAGCCCTAAACCCTATAAGCCCTAAGCCCTAAACCCTAAACCAAAGGCCTAAACCCTATAAGCCCTAAACCCTAAGGCCTAAGCACTATAATCCCTAAACCCTATAAGCCCTAAACGCTAAGCCCTAAGCCCTAAGCTCGGCTTCGGCCGTAGATTGAAGAATTTGTGTGGACTTCCAGCGTTGAGACTGAAGCTGGGCTCGTGGCGATGCGGCTGCATGTTACTCGTATGTAGTGGCCTCATGAAGTAGAACTGGGTCTGGGGTACAGTCTTACTGCTGATGGTATAAATCCTGCACTACCTTGATTAAGGATCCTAAACTATCGGAATTATGGCATGTGCCTTATTATGGGTAATGCAGGACTTATATCATCAGCCGTAGTGTACCTATACTCGGAACCTAATACAGGGATGCTGTTTCGATTTTTTCTCACCCCTATGGTTTCTGAACAGCGTTTCCGGACGCGTCCTGCTTTGAATGCATCAGCCCTGCACACGTGACAGAGCCGACACAGAGCCCTGGAATGCCAGAAGCCTCCAAACCGTGCAAATTCCTTAACCCGAAGCCGAAACCTTAAGTGCCTGACAATTTCTACTAAACCCTAAACGGCCTTATAAATCCTATATGTTTGCCTTTTAACCCACCAAACATGCCTAAGTGCTGGTCTTCGAATACTTCGCAGCTTTAAACCCTAAATCCTAAACCCTGCCTCGATCGACGATTACGGGTCGCTCGCCAGTCGGCTCGTAGCACGGCCACCTGGACTCTTGAAGGCAAAACCTAGAGGGTCCATACACACTAACGGCTTAGGGTTTAGGAGTTTAGGGTTTACGATTTAGGGTACTACTCTTATGGAATTAGGTACCCAAAACCAGAAAAAGGATGGTCTTTCGGGGCCTAATTCCAAAATGGTGGTACATGTGGACCCTCTGGGTAACATTGCTCGCTCTTGCATGATGAAACCTGAGCGCGCTGCTGATGGTGTGGTTTAGGAACTTCGAATCCTGTAATGTTGCTTGCAACCAAGGCAGCCTCAAACTGTCACCAAGACTGCCGCGCTTTGCATGACTGTATACTGAAGAAAATGTCTAGACTCAAGACCTTAGGTGAGTATTGTTGAACCCCGCATTGAACCTCCAACTGAATCCAATGGCTGGGCTGAGCTTAGTATGTTGGCAGAGTGTTGTGCTTGAGGTCCCGTTGCAAACAGTAGCCATGCACCTTTCAATGGGATGATATCTCCATGTCGTCCACGGCATTGTTTAGGGCCGCAAACATTGCAACTGTTCTTCGGGCTGCACAGCTGTTGTGGCTGAAGTTCCACCTCACACGCGGCAGCCGCGCTGGCAGTGAGGCTCGCATCTTGTTGGAACCTTGTTGAAGTGCTCTAAACTGGGTTCTGGAGTACCATACTTGAATACTTTTTTATTGGACCTGTTCCTGAAAGGAACCCATATGAAATAAAAGTCTATACCTTTTTTCCTTGGTTACTTCAAAGTCCAGATATGTACGGCGGTGCGAACCCTAAACCCTGAAGCCCCAAACCCCAAAACCCTAAACCCTAAACCCCTATGTACGGCGGTATGCCTCAAGACTGGGATCTTTTGCGGGTGAGGAGTGCCAGAGGAAGCTCTGGCCTCCAAGCCTAAAGTTCAGGGCTTAGGGATTTGGGTTTAGGACTTAGGGTTTAGGGCTTAGGGTTTTGGGTTTGTGGTTTAGGCAGTCCAACATCCGAGCAGCGCTTTTGAGTTCGGCAGATTTCTCCTGATGGCAAGCAGGGCGGACTCCTAAACCGCAAACTCTCAACCACCAGAGTTGCTGTGTCAGTGTAGTTTTCGAAAGCTCGAAGTGTATTCAGGGTGCAGGGTTTAGGCCGTTGGGTCATATTGATGTACCCCTATATTTTAAAGTATGTTCCAACAATGCCTAGAATGCAGAATGCATGCAGGTTTCCATGGCGACGCTGACCCAGACGCAGACCGAGGTCCCACAGCCGGAAGAACTATTGATAGTATCCTGAAAGTCCTACACTCCCTACACAATGTTTTTTTTTATACAAACTACCTCAACACCATACTCCTTTTGTTGATGAGGGCCCCCTTTGACCGTCTCGGGAGTCTCGACCCCGATTGCCTACAAAGACGCCGTTGTTCTTATTACTGTTGATGATAGAAATCCTGCATTACCCATAATAAAGAGCATACCACCATTCCCATAGTTTAGGATCCTTAAGGTACTGCAGGATTTATATCATCAACGGTAGTCGTGTGTGTGTGTGTGCGTGCTTTCAGACCTTGGAGTGCCATGAGCTGCAAATCTGCGATGACTCGACTAAGGTTAGATAGAGTGCACAGGGATGCCCGAGCTAGAACTAGGCTGCTAATTACGACAGCTCCGTGTAATCCTCAGTTGGCCAATGAAGTTGACAAGAACCTGTCATATGTGGTTTAGGCTAATCGGGTTTAGGGTTTAGGGGTTCACATCACATGATCCTTGTCTGATTTCTGCATGTGGCACCAAAAGAGATGGTTCGTAGGGACTTCTCAGAGAGCTCCTCGTGGTGACTGTGCTGGACGGCGTGCGACGCCGATGGTTTTTGTGAGGCTTTGTGCTTACACCCCTGGGAGGTGAAGGGGTGCAGGGGGTGGAGGGGCAACAAATCGTTCATCTTAGCACCGGCACCCCACTTCGAGCCCGAGACACCGGCAACGAATCATACATCTGAGCACTGGGACCCCACTTCGAGTCCACGACACCGGCAACACATCGTACATCTTAGCACTGGGGCCGCACTTCGAGCCCAAGACACCGGCAACAAATCGTACATCTTGGCACTGGGTACTTCGAGCCCAAGACAGCCGCAACAAAGTGGGGTCCCGGTGCTATAAGATGTACGGTTTGTTGCGGGTGTCTTGGGCTTGAAGTGGGGTCCCAGTGCTACGATGTGTGATTTGTCGCCGGTGTCCTCTGCTCGGATTGGGGTCCCAGTGCTAAGATGTACGAT